AGAGTATTTTCTTTGGGTCAGAATATTGAATATTTTCTTTGCGACGGGCGCTTGATATACAAAAAATATGGCACAAAGCGCCCACGCTTTTTTCACAATAATACCAGTATTTAAAAAAATATTTTCAACTTTTCAGTTCGATGTCCTTCAAAAGAGTGTTTTTTGACTTTTTAAACTATATTTATTATTCATTTTTCACTTTCGTATGCTATAAAAGCGTGTTTTTTAGTCTTTTTAAACTATATTTATTTTAACTAAACTTTGGGATCAACCAGCCGTATATCGTTTAAAAAAATGATCATTGATATTTTCCGATTCCAGAAAGGGAGCCTGAATATCAGGTACCAACCCAAGGCAGCAGGCGCGCAAAGGAGGGTGACAAATAAGGCAGCAGGCACGCGTGTTAATAAAAAAAATTATATCAAGGAGGTTACGTACATCGCCATATGCCCGCGAATAGATCAAGCAATAATGTCGATAATTCTGTCAAATACAGATCCCGAGCTTGAGAGATACAAACAAACATACATACATACATACATACATACATATATACATACATACAGGTGAGGCTAATATAAAGCGTGTAATAAAAAACACAATTAAGAAAGATCATTGAAGACGTTTGAAAGAAAATTTTGAAAAGTCAATTCGTGAAACTTTTTTCTTTGTTTGTTTGAAGTCATTTTTATAACTGTATTTGTTACTACTACAATTACTCATTTTGCAGAATAGCCAATTTTTTCAGGAGCTACCTCATATCAATGGAAGAATCATCAAAATAGGTTCGGAATTGACGAAAATATAGACATTTTTTCGCAATTTTGAAGTCATTTTGGTCGGTCGGTAGCCAAGCGGTTCGGCGTGGGTGCTTTGTTCACTCACTCGAATTGACTGCCGTATTGCTCGGTGGATCAAGCCCTAGTCTGAACGATCGATCTTCACTTGCTATCGTCCTACCCGTGTTATAAATCACACGTTAAAAGGTAAGACCTCGTTAATCCTTAGCTCGCACAAGTTTCGACTTCTGAGGGTTGTCGTTCGTAGGGGTGCGACAGCTGGTTAACGGAAAAACAGATTTTAAACAGACAGATTTCCTCAAAGCCGTTATCCCCACTCCTGCGCTAGGTCCAGCTTCACAGTGCCTCAAAAAGTTCACCGTTTATTTTACCATTCAAAATCTTGTTTGCTTCAAACAATTTCATTGCGTCGTTAAAATCAAGTATTCTATTAATTTTCGAGAAAGTTTCAGCCCTTGATTTAAAAAAATATCCTGCTCCTGATAGATGCAGGACATTTTTTTTATAAATGTGTTTATTGCTAGTTAGAAAAATATGTTGGTGGTAAATCGATATCTTGAAAATTCTTTGAGAATTAACAAAAACGATATTCCGTTTCAAAGGTCTATTCGAAAAAAAAACATTAACATAAGATCTCTGGGATGCGTCCAGGACGTCAATTTCAACGTTCAACTCGTTATTTGCGATTATCCGCCATGCCTCACACAAATATTTCTTTGTGGGAATAGGGTTCTGAAAGACATATTCATATCAAGTTTCACTAAATAGATGCGATTCTGCCTAAATGACAAATATTTGAAATTTTCGTCATTTTGAATTTTTTTAGGTCGGTTTCAGATCTGATTTCCCGCAAAATGACCTTCTTGAAAAGTTAGACAAACTCTATACGGTCTTTTGAAGGCAGTTTTACAAAAATTCCGAGATTGGTAGAATATTTCATTTATTTCAGTTGATGTTGTAACATTTTCGATATTCCAAATCTGAATCCGACGAAAGCCTGATGAGATATAAGCAACTAAAAATTTGAAATATTGGAAATTTCAAATATTTTTCATTATATGTGCTTTCCAATTACAAAAAATTTTGAAGCGAAGAAATTGATTTTTTGCGAGATATTGCGAATGTTCGCAAATAAAGAGCAAAATGTGTCGTTATAATTGACATCAATGAATTTTTTTCACCAAGACCTGTGTTTCACGACCTCCGAAATTGAAGGTCGATTTTTTCACCCTCAAAATGAAGTCTAAAAAGTAAGTTATTGTCCGAGCGACCCCACTGGTAATTAGATGCCTTATGAATCTACGGGCTCGTGGACCGTAGTCGAATGGACTTGAAGTATCAAAGTATCTGTCTCAGCAACAACTGGCTGGCGAGTTTCGTGTTCATTGGTATTTATAACTTGAAATAGTGGAAGGGTGATGATGGTGAGGAGGGGTCCATGCAAATTCTCAATCCTGATTGGTCCGTACTTTTGCTGGGTTTGCTGATTTGTCTACGTTGTTGACATGTTGGCTGCTGGTGGGATCTTGATCGGAATTGTATTTTAGTTTTCTTTTCTGTGAAAAATGTCGAAAGCACAGGAAAGGAGTTTCTTCGTATTTCAATATGTTTCATAGTTCTGTTTCTACTATGACATGCTTCGTGTTTGGTAGTTTCGATGTAACTTGAGCCACAGGAATAGGATATCCTACAAACACCGGCGAAAGTATCTCTTGTCTTTGGGTGATCTGATAGTGTTGCGTTGGTANGCAACACCGCATTGTCGAAAATATTTTAGTTGGCTAGAGAATGTCCGAATATGCCCTCCATTAAATTTTCAAAGTGATCCGTTGTCTGGTTCACCAGAAACGTCTACTGTGCCATCCACCGTGAATCAGCCTGTATAGGGAAGCCTTATCTATTTTTGATATTCGTGAATTGATTCTTTTATCGATTCCATAGATGACATGTTTTCGTAAGGGAATATTATTGCGAAATGTATCCCCCTTACTGACGTCACAAAAACACGTAAGTTAGCGATTTTGGTTCTTCTTGACTTCGACCTAGACATAGTACCTAGTCAATAAGTCAAACTTTCTTCGTGTTGAATTGTTGTTGTTGCATTGAACTCTCTTTTTAAACAATAAAGGTACACCTGTTGGACTTATGATCAGAACATCTGTTCTCATTCTTCAACGTATCTTCAGCACTAAATCAGGATAACATTATAAGATGAAGCCAACAATTCACTCATAAAATTACGATTTATGTCACGAATAAGTTTAATCTACTCATGTTATCGATGACAGTGCGTAGTGACATTAATTCCCTTATTTGATTAAATTCCTTTAAATGTCACTGATGTAGAAACCACAAAGCTAAAAATGAAATAGTTAGTTTTCAATAAAGTTTTCAATTTTGAAACATGCCTAATGACTGGTGATTCCGGAATAGATTTTATAATAGATAGCTAACTAGAGCAACTGACTATAAGAAATTATACCTTCGACCGTTTATGACTGACAATAAGTTATTGCTTAAGTTTGGAACAATTAATGATGAAATTTTGATTTTTGAAGTTCCATATTGTACCTTTAATTTACCTTTTCTTGTTACTCTCAGGAGATTCTGGGTTACTACTCTAATTTTTATTCATTTAGGTAACACTTAATTGTGAGATTCTACTGGACAGTTTACAAAACCGCAACATCTGTTTCGCTATTGAACAGCAGTTTTGCGGGAGTTTGGTGTTGTGGTTTCGTAAACTGTCCAGTAAAAATCTCAGATGAAGTGTTACTTGAATAAGTTATGTAAATCGATCATATATCTAATTTTCATTTATTTATCTCGTCTCTGCAGATCTATCATATATTTTTCTACTTCCTGTTCATTTATTATAGAAAACTGTTAACACATAGATATCATTTCATGCAGAATTCAAGTTTTCACGTTGTTTTCTCAACATTTTAATTGAAGGGGAGTACTGGAATTATAATCATGTAACAGATGTTCCCATTCTGTTATCACTCTCTATGAATTGTCATTGAAACGTATAATCGAAGTAAACGATATTGTGCATATTTAAAGATGTCGGCACTCTCAAAGGCCAAAAAAAACCAATACATAGAAAGCCGAACTAGTCGACGTGGACTGTGGATTGGTGGTTTGGCCAATCAACCGATGGTATAGTCGCAGTCGCAGAAAAATATATCACATGTTTCGCTAACACAGTAACATCTTCAACAGTTTCGAAGGAACTACTGTGTTAGCGAAACATGTCATGATATATTTTTCAAATAAAGTTTGTGAAGATCAAATCGTGAGGAGTAGTTTATGAAATTACTATGGATTTTCATCAAGTACGTAAGTACGTAAAATAGTCAAAAACAAACCTTATGAACGCAAGATGCGATGTTATACAGGATTATCAAAACCTTTAGATGTTCATCTAATAAAATCATTGAAAAAAACAATATACGACTGTTACAAAAGCAATGAGATACCTACAACTGAAATCATAAGGAAGAAATTGAATACTGTCGGCCATAACGTGAGCTGTTGTGATACAACTCTTCAGAATTGGATAAATTCAAAATAATAAACAAACGTTAAGCAGTTATGAAAAGCAGCAGAATAGTGGAATTGCGTAACAAATACTCACAATAAATAACTAAGTAAATAAAGACAAGAACAACGACAAATTTTCTATTTGGAGGAAACTTGGTATGACATTCACGACACATAGTTACGAAAGGGTGAACTGATGGTTCGAGAATGTGTACGCCTAACATGCCTGCCATTTTGGGGACACTTGCACGAGCATTTTGAACAGACGATATATAAATTGTTTATCAAAACCTGTACTCCATTTTATTTATTCCGGCGACTTGTTGTGTTTTTGTGGTGAATAGAAACGTTTTTCTGCATTGAAGTTTTTCATTCCAATCATCTCCAACAAAATTTGGTGGCAGCGGTGGGATGAATTGGATTTTTTTTTGATATTTGTGAATAATTTGGATTTTTAATGGAACTTTTG